TCGATTTTTTGAAGGAGAATGCTTTTGGAGTGAATAAAATTATGAGATTCGTGAACATAAATCTGGCTTAACGTTTTGAATGCGTTTCCTTCAACGTTTTACAAAACAATTAAATTGCAACAATAATTTATTTGTGTTTGTTTTTAGTCTGCAGCATTTGTATTTCGAGAATGTTTCAAACTCTTCTAAATTGTGAAACATAATGTGTTGATTCCATTAAAAAAAATATTTGCCCTGTGACTGAGCTCACTAATACATGTATTCATAATTGTAAATAAGTTCTGTTAATCAATGAAGGAAAGATATGTAAATGATATGCAAATTATTATGCAAATTAGCCCCGGCGCTATGCATTTTTTCTGGGGAGAACCCTGAACCGTATAAGCGGTATTGAGATGTCATCGCTGCCCATATAAAAGTCAAATTTGTGTTTTATGTTTAGTCACTACTTTATGATCAAATTGTTGAACTGTTGATTTCCACTGTAAATTACTTAATCTACTTGGCCTTATTTTCCTGGTTGTGGTTCTTATTGATGATCTATTGAAACTAATGATGAGAATGTTGTTTTTTTTCTGATAAAACTTCTGTAATATGAAATAAAATGCCCAAATCTCTGTTTATGTATTTTTTTCAGATCAAGAAAGCTTACAGAAAAAAAGCATTGCTGTGCCATCCTGATAAACATCCTGATGATCCAATCGCAGGTAAAAAATTTCAAATGAATTTATCAATTTTTCTGTATGCTGCGTACACTACAACAAGTGTTTACATATTGATAACTGCTCGTTTTTAGAAATCTGCTAAACCAGCTGTAAATTCATGGGCAAGCTATAAAATTCAAATAATTGTCACAATTATGTGGATGGTTGTTACACTGCATCCTGTTTGACATGGGACTTATAGTGACGTACATATAACATGTAAAATACATTGTTTATTTACATTTAAACATGTGTTGTGCAATGACTGACCCTTTAAAGCATTTTTGTGCTTCTAGACGGCTAGGTACGGACGTAATCAATGTTTATGTTTATTGCATTCTAATGAACTGAGTATTATATGGTGTTCAGTTCACACGATGTAGGTAAAGACCAACCAGAGAGTAATATTTAAAACAGTAGAATGCACAAACACAGTTCTGATATCAGTGCTGATTTAAGAATAAATTATGAATACATGTACTATGGTGGTTTTATTTATTTCATTTCAGCTGAACGATGGGAGCAGCTTTCGAAAGCATTAGAAATACTGACTGATAAGAAAGCTAGAGTGAGTATTAAAGTTGTCTTCTGAGTGTTTGCCGTCATCTAAATTCAGTAGTTCTGGCTAAGAGTTGCGAGTTATCATTTTTGAATCTTTCGGATTTGACAAACTCGGCATGTTCAGTTTGGACAGGTAGAAATCAGCCCATGCTATTCTTTGGGAATAGTGGATTGTGAATCATGTTGATTACTTGCAAAATATATTTTGTCATGAGTTTTATTGTTGATGGCAATATGTTTTGTGTTCTACAGGCAGCGTATGACAAAGTATTAAAAGCAAAGAAAGCTGCAGAACTTAGGAATAGAGCTTTGGACGCTAAAAGGAAGAAAGTCAAACATGGTATGTCCTACACGGTGTACCATATTTGTATTGTGTCATTCCCTTTATGTGTATTCATTTGTATCGTGCATCTAGCCATTCTTCTTTCATGATTTATTTATAAGTTGACACAGAGACAAGACATAATACCGGTAGGTCACTAATGCAAAACAGTTTGTTTTTGTTTTTTATGCAAAAACATTTACTTCTCCAGATATGAAGATCAGTTGATTTCTGAGTGCTTCTGAAAAATACCAACTTTTTTTTTTAATTTTGTTGTTTTAAAAAAAACAAAAAAAAGCTTAACTTCAAAAATAAAATTGTTCATTATCAAGATCATGGTGTGTGTTTAGTTCCATGGTAAGATCCACTCGTGATATATAGATAATATTCTTCTCCGCAGTCACTGAAAACATAGACAATAGCACAGCACTGCCTCTTTGATTATTTAAAGAAAAATGTATGCATTATCTTGTACATATCTAATTTACTAAAATAAAAAATACAGTCTCATGTTTTTGAAAAAGTGATTGTCCATGTGAGTTGAAAGATGCATCTCACACTGATTCACTGTCTAATTAATATTCATGAATAAATTAGTGACCCTGTATGACGGTATAGAAAGTCTGTCTATAAAGGCCAAAATCACAAAGTCTCTTAGTGGCCACTGTATATAGGTTTGAATATACAGGCTTTGAAAATCATGAATACAATACAAATTTATCATTAAAAATCAATAAATTTTTTTATCAAACTGTTTTATGCACTTTTGTTACATAATGACAAGAGCTCCAAGAACAAATTTTGATTGACAAAAAACACCAAACACGAAATATATACCCGGTACATTGTTTTACACAAGCATAAGTTCTATGCAGCGTAACCAACAGTCATCATAATACACATAAATAATGCATAAAACTGTATAAAATGTGTAGTTCAACTAAATTATATAATAGCTATTAACATATTTCGTTATCACCATACATCTTTGCTAGTTCTATTTTGTATATACCATTGCTACTGTAGTCCTTGTAGTTAAAGATAGATGATTTCTTGCACTTCGTAGTTAGAATTGTTTTCCAACATAATTTCATCAGAGAAAGCTTATTACCGGGTATAGTCAGTCTGTATTCATATATCTTGTTTCATATAGATTTAGAAGTAAGAGAATCTGCAGCTAGGAATGAAAAAGAAGATGCAATTGCTGATGCAAGAACACTTGAAGAAGAGGTAAAAATAATTTACAAAATACTTCTTAAAGCATAATTGTTTTTAATTTAGTATTAGAATTTGACTAATTGTTTTGATCACTGTGAAATGTTTTTATCAACTGAAAAATGCAAAATGTATGACGTTGTTACCTTGAGGATTAGGATAGTGGGGGGGGGGGGGCTTAATCAAAAATATGGCTTGTGGAAATCAGAAACTACATTTATTATGTACTACATGTACACAAGCATCATTCTGGTAATATTTTTATTAAGTCTAGCGTATGTATAAAACAATTGTACAAATGCCGCCACTTATTAAACAACTCACTTTATTTGATCTTAATTCATGTCTAAATCTTGCCGGACTTTTAAATGATTACAATCTGTTGCAGATTAAAAGACTTCGAGAAGAAGGGTCAAGACAACTCGAAGAAGAAAAAAAATTACTCAAGCAACAACTTAAAGAAGATTCTATCATTTTAACTGGTTAGTCACTGTATTAATTCCTTTCACATTTTGAAATTATGTCTACTCCAAAAATTTACTGAATACAATGTGCACATCCTGCACTTTAGAAATGTTGAGATAGGTTTCTCAGTGTCTTTCTTTTATTGGGTAATTGTTTTTCTCTAATTATCTAATCTGAGCAGGGATTGGAAACATTTTCAGAAAAAAAAAGATGGGGTAGTCGGACATGTTTCCCTGGCAACAAGGATTTAAATCTTTTTCTATAGCATTATGCTGTACTAATTTTAACCCTGCATATTTTTTTGAAATATTGAAAATTTATTTTCGCTACCATGAATTAATTATGCAAATCCAAAAAGAGTGAATTTTTCCCATCTGCATGACACCAGGATTCACTAGACATTACTGCGTTATGATAACTGCAGCAAGCTGGTGGTGATAACTAAATATTATTTTCTTACACCCAACAGATCAAATAGACACACCAAAGTTGAAAGTAAAATGGAGATGTAAAAAAGAAGATGAAACAAATGGTGGTTATAATCATGATGTATTATTTCAAATATTTTCAAAGGTACAGTGTATATTATACATTTAGTTAATAAAAGTACCAAATTCGGCCGTAAATTCGCCCAGGGCCATTAAACGGCAGTTCGGGTTTTTTTTAAAAATAAAATGGGACCAACAAATCGATGATTTTTCAGAACTTTTTTTAGGTGTTATTTTAATCATTTCTGATGCCTAAAAGTTTCTTCGTAGTCATTGACGCCTATTCAAGAGTATTGATGTTTATTGCGACTAGCGTGAATGGATAGCTTCGTTTCGACAATGAGCTGTTATCGCTGTAAACAATGTTAAATTATTCTTCGAATGCTCAGTTTGTCTTTTGAAAACAACTAATTGTTTTATTTAAAAACAAATCATGCCGCTTTCCCATCAAAATCCAAGCCAAAAGATTGTACAACAACATCGGCAAATCTCTCCGTGCTGCGTTCAATAACATTAACATATTTAAATGAGCTACGGTAACTTGATCACGTTGGCATCATCCATCGTTTTCATTGGTTAATTATCTATTTGACCTGTATTCATTTCTACAGCATTGAGCGTTGAAAATGCGATTGGAATCATTCGCTTATGATGAAATAAGTTGAAATTTATTTGCACTTCATAACAATTCAACAAATTTATTTTTTGAACGTTATTATAATCATTACTAGGTTAATAATCAATAATCGTGAAACGCAGCATGGCCGGATTGCGCTACCCTGATCATTTGCTACTAAGCATTGCAGTTGGGTTCGTTTTTATTTGAAACTTCTTTTAGAATATACTTTTGTTACTAATAAAATGAAACAAAATAATTGTAATTTGGTGCACTAGGTTCATTAATGTGGTGTTTTTTTGGAGAAAGATGTGCGGTCCACTTTTTAATCCAGCAAGAAATAAATGTATAAAATTTTTGATTAGCTTCTGCAATCGTTTCTTTCGTTTTGGGTGGTCCAACTGCCGGCGTTAAAAATCGGCGTAGGTGTATTTGTTAATGAAATTATAAGCCCCCTAAAATATTTGATGATCCTCTTTGAAAATTTGAACCCCAAATAAGGGCCCACCAGCCGTAAAACCGGCGATTTTTCGGATGGGTGAATTTACGGCAGAATCCAGTAATACTGAGACTAGATCAATTCCACTGAAGTACAACACCTAAGAGAATGAAGAAACAGACAAAATGGAAAATATGGTATTATTAGTGTAGTGTTTTTCTGTGGTTTTTGATTATTTTGGGACTAATTTGACATAATTCTTATTGGATGCAACTAACCTTTCACAACCCTTTTTTTTGAAAAAAATATAGAATAAAATTGAGGGTTTATTTTGTTAAAAGCTGACTAAGTTATCTTTGGCACTCGAATGATTAATGGTAATGTCACACAGTATTGCATAAGGTATTAATTGTTCAGATGTTCATTTTGTACAAAGATAAATTGGCAAATACAGTAAATTATTTGGTGCTATTTGGTATATCGTGTAGAGTAAATTTATCTCTAGTTTACCATGAGTCTACTGACATTTGTATGGGGAAATGTCACTGCTAAGAGACCAGTGCAAGTGTTATTCGAAAAAATCCCTCACTCATTTTTAATGAAGTGTGAAACGGTGCATAGTGGATTATTATCATTTTTAATTTCTTTGATAGTATGGGAATGTCAGTAACCTAATTATGTCACGTAAACACAACGGAAGCGCCATTGTAGAATTCAAATCGAAACACAGTGCGGTGAGTATTTGTATATTATTTTGCTGGTGATTATTTATTCCCATTTACTATTTTTAGTAATAGTAAATACCACAATCTTTAGCTTAATGTCTAAAGATAAATTCAAGCTGTTAAAAAAATAGAGGCTAAAATTTGTCGTATTATTTTGTTTTAAAAATTGTATAATCATTTGTGTCATTTATTGATATTTAAACAGTAAGAGATATTTTTTTTATTTTTATTTAATCCTGACAACCATTTTTCCACCATATATTACCAAGTAACATTTACCAGATGAAATCAGTTTACTGTAGGAACCAATGGTGAACTTACTCAAAAATTAAATTTTTGAATGAAGATGACCATACTTTTTCATCAGGTTAATTTTTTTAGTGATAATTAACTAGCCTAATTTGTAGAACTAATATTATTAAAATTAAAAACACTATTAAACTTAACATGTCATGTCAATGTCCCATATTGAACATGTCCAGGTGTGGTAACTGTAATGCTTTAACATTCTTCACTAGAAATTTCCTTATGAATTTCAGTTTAGATTAAATTGATGTATATCATAAATTTTACAATGATCTTAAAGCGAGGGAGTCATCACCTGCGCATGCGCCAGATGGCCATAGCGTGTCATTGTTTACACACAAGCATCTACCCATGAACCATTGCATTTTAAAGTGTGTGTTGTTATCGTTGCTTGGGACTCAATTCCCACGTATGCACAGGTGACGACCCTCCTGGTTTGAAGTGTCACAGTCATCACTTAACGTCATGTAGGAAATGAGAACCATGTGACATATAGAACGCATGTCACATTTATTGCATTTACTTGAAATTAGACTGCACCCGGTGCTTAAAATATTTATGTCTGATTATCTTTTTCTATGTGCGACAGGAGTTGGCTGTTCAACATGAAGTTGGAAAAACTATTAATCCTCTGCGGGTATCATGGCTATCTGGAAAACCAACGAAGCAATCAGTGTCTACCAACCAGCAATCAACAAACATTGTAATTTAAATTCTACTGTTTTTTTATTACAAATTCTCCACATCTCTTTAATGAATGAAAAGCATGCAAGATATGACATGCACACTATTTTTACCACTGTGTATATAATCCACCATTTAAATTGTCAGAAAAGACATTATATTAGGCAAAAAAAATCAGGTTTCTGGTCAAAAGTTTCTTAAAATTTCATTTCATTTCCTCAGGGAAATATTTTAGACTTCTCAAATTCCTTAAGGACACATGCCCTCATGGCCAGTCAATATGTATTTAATGTGATTGTATAAATGCCATGACATGCGAATAGCTGGTCAAGCTAGAATTAACCTTCCAGCTCGGTGTATAGCCTACTGTACATAATCCTACAGTGTTTAACAAATGTTATCATTCCACAAAGTTCATTTCATTTCAGCTCAGTATTACATTTGGTAGCACAAATTATATGACGCAGTATGATAATATTAAATAGATTTTTATGAAGAATCTTGACGTTAAATTTGATGATATGGAACACCGAGTAGATGTCTATAAATCCTTTTAATTACAGAGTGCCGGCTTTAGTTCAGATGCCACAGGAGGTGATTTTGAAAGCATGGTACTCGAAAAGTTGCGGCAAGCGGCTTCACAGAATAGGACTGAAGGCAGGAAAGAAGAGCAAGAGTCAACACACAGTACTGAGACATTATTCAATGATACAGACACTGTGGGAGAGGAACAGACTAAAAATTTATCTTGTGAAAATGACTTTGAGAGCGTAGTCCAGATGCGAATGAGACAAGCCAATGAAAGACAGCTTTTAATTGACAAATTAAAACAGGAAGACAGCGATTAGAAATGAAATGAGTGAATAAACATCAAGGAGTTGAGTGGTTTGTTATTCAGCCAAGCTTGTATAGCTATGGTAGGCTGTCAGAAATAATAAAGTGTATTGTTAAAATAAACAATTTGAAAGCTTCTGTTCCATTATACTGGTATTAAAATCATGGGAGTACCTGGAAGAGTGTGACCAGTGACATTGTTTTTCACAGTGTCTTCTTTGTACATTTTCATTTTATTTGTTTTTAAGTGATCCAAATGTTCGACCCCTAAATGTATACATTATGTGGGTGTCATCCACACTCACTTTAGGTTTAATATAGAAGCTGGTAGACACACTATCCTGCATAGACTTTTGTTTACAATGTTAAGGAATAGTGATATCTGAAGTGATGATTTCAGCTCGAACATCATCACATGCATTTAGTTGTTTAACACCAAGATGTCACAATGTCTAGAATGTTATTTGCACACATACACACTAAACTCACATGCTAATACAAAGGGACATGCAACAAGTGTTGAATCAGTCAAGATTTTAATCAAAATTGTCAGTATTAGAAGAGATATGTATGGAAAATAGAGTTAAAAATTTACTACTAGTACCTAATATAAATATTTATAGAGCTGTGTGGCATGTTAGTTCATTCAGAATCACATGCCCTCCATCCTCTTGTTCAAAACAAGAATCGCACTATGGTTTATGTAGATGATGCAGTTCAGATAGCTAGATCTTCAAGGGGATGCATCATTAACATTCTCATTGTGCAGTGCATGTCTAAATCTCTCTTTGAGTTGACAGGATAATGAAATGACAGGATATAAAATATACCGGTATGTTAAGTTTGTGTAAGTTTCTGTTGAGTTTGTTTCTCTGATATCTCAAATTTTTCCTCTGGTTTGTGCAACGTCCATGCACATGTAGAGCCCATTCCTGCCATGCCAACCACTCTGAAGCCCTTCTTTTCTAGTTGATTCAGTACAACGCAAGGTGGATCTTGACTGCGGTATTCAGGACTGAAAGTAGACAAAAGACAAACATGCATATGAAATGATACCCCAAATGTTAGAGACTACATTAGTATGATTCTCAACACCATGCAAGGTATGAGTAGCATATGAATAGTGTATTAGAGTAAAATAGAATTTTCTTTAAATCAACAGTCAATGTCTGGTTTATGCAGAGTCCAAATGCATGTCTGCCTGTTGTCACTCATTGAAATCACTTTGTAGCCTTTTGTTTCTAACTTGTTGAGAACCAACTGAGGATGATCTTCA